AAAGCAGTGCTGTTTTATCATACTAGATACATTTGAAAGTTCTGTTATAATACTACTCTGTGCAGTCGTCACCGGTCTATTAAAACACACAACATATTAAAGCGTCTTTGGTGTTTCCATGTTTTCTACAAAACAAAACCGGAAATCGAGGGGTTATGACGTCATTGGCAGTCGACAATGACCTCTATTGCTGTCAGCTTCGCATTTGTGTGTGCGTCGCTGAGCCCCGCCTCCCCTGCTTTTGTGTTTCTCTCCTCCCAGTTACTCGGAGGAAGAAATGGCGAGCTCGCGAGGATGAACGATCAGGCTTGAGTGATTTAACGCCAGCAAAGCCCCCGCATGCATCACACTCCACTCAGCTCTTTGATCTGCCAGTGTGTTTACACGTGAGGATCGGTGCCTCTCATTTGTCGAGCGGCTCAATCCTTCTAGGCGGATCTGAGCAGAACGCTGTCACCAATGATTCAATATCGCTGACAGTTTCGTATTTGAATGCGCCTCACTTACAAGAGTTTATGTCTCGCTCTGCTTTGTTCGCGGCTCGCCTTCTTCAATGAAGGCAGCCTCACCCCTCCCCTCGTCCGCTATGAGCGGATCTGAGAGAATGCGCGGAGCACTTTTGATCTGCCGGTGTGTTTACACATAAAGATCATCAGTACCCCTCTTCTAATGAGCGGTTTGATATTTTTAGGCGGATTAAAGGAGAATGTTGTCACTAATGATTATCATCACTAACAGCTTCAGATTGGACGCGTCTGGGCCACGCCCACGCTGAGGCAGCACACACGGGGGCTGACTGCTCTCGCTACGAGAGCATTAAGTCTAGCGAAGCATTTTTTGAAAGCATTTTGAAAAGAGAGCAAATTTCCTCTTCTGTTTATCACGAGTGTGGGGTCCCCGTACAGCGACCAGCCACTCAAATTAATCCAACCCCTTGTCACACGGGCTGAGGCCTGGCAGGCCATCCCCGGAGTGCCAGACTGGGTTTTGGGGATAATAAAACAAGGTTATTCACTGCAATTCGCTCGGAAGACCCCTGCGATTCTGCAGCGTGGTTCCCACCTCGGTTTAGAGCTAAGATGCACACGTCCTGCACTCTGAGTTGATGAATTTGCTGGCGATAGGAGCTGTAGAAATGGTTCCCCCAGCTCAGACTGTGTCAGGCTTCTACAGCCGCTACTTCCTCATCCCCAAAAAGGATGGCGACCTACGGCCAATTCTCGATCTCAGGCACCTGAACCCGCGCCCTCATGAAACGGCCGTTCAGGATGATTACATTGAAACAGATCCTCTCACAAGTGTGCCCAGGGGACTGGTTCTTTGTCAATACACGGTCCTTCACTTTGGACTGTCCCTAGCTCCTCGCACTTTTACGAAGTGCATGGATGCGGCTCTTTCCCCGCTGAGACAGATGGGAATCCGCATTCTGAATTACCTCGACGACTGGCTCCTCTTGGCCCAGTTGGAGGATGAGCTACTATTTCACAGATCCTTCCTCCTCAGCCACTTAGAATGCCTGGGACTCAGGGTCAATTTTGCTAAGAGTGCGCTGTTCCCCAGCCAATGGATATCGTTCCTGGGAACAGTTCTCGACTCAGCCCAAATAAGGGCGGTAATAATGCCAGAACGTGCACTGGCCATTCAGCAGCTCGCGGCCTCGTTCATGTTGGAGACTCTCACCCTCTCAAGGCATTTTAGAGGATGCTGAGCCTCATGGCCTCCGCGTCTGTGGTACTTCAGTTGGGCCTGCTTCGCATGCGGCCCCTTCAGTACTGGCTGAAACCACGAGTTCCGTCCCATACCTGGCGTATCAGATGCCTTCGTATCAAGGTGGACCAGGCCTGCGTAGCAGCTCTGGCCCGTTGGAGCCTCTCACCCTCTCAAGGCATTTTAGAGGATGCTGAGCCTCATGGCCTCCGCGTCTGTGGTACTTCAGTTGGGCCTGCTTCGCATGCGGCCCCTTCAGTACTGGCTGAAACCACGAGTTCCGTCCCATACCTGGCGTATCAGATGCCTTCGTATCAAGGTGGACCAGGCCTGCGTAGCAGCTCTGGCCCTTTGGAAAGACCCTCAGTGGATGGAACGGGGCGTGCACCTGAAAATGGTCTGCAGAGAGGAAGGTGGTCTCGACAGATACTTCCAACACAGGTTGGGGAGCGCTGCGCGTCGGCAAACCGGCTTTCGACCACTGGTTGAAAGAGGAAGGTCGGCTTCACATCATCTCCCTAGAAATGCTGGCAGTATGTTTGGGCCTTCACACCTTTCTGCCAGACCTAAGGGGACACCACATTTTAGTCCGCTCGGACAGCATTACGCTGGTGTCCTATATAAATCGCCAGGGCGGTCTCTCCTCGAAGCGCCTCTTGGAATAGGCTCAGCTCAACTTGCGTTCACTGAGAGCAACGCATGTGCCGGGCAGGTTGAACCAAGGAGCAGACATGCTATCTCGGAGCAAGGTCCCCTCAGAAGAGTGGATGCTCCACCCACAAACGGTTCAAAGAGTCTAGGAGATCTTCGGAAAGGCAGAGGTTGACCTCTTCACCTCAGAAACACCTCAAACTTTCATTGCCCAACTTATTTTTCAAAGGACAGGGATGTGTTGGCCCACGACTGGCCCAACCTCCTCTTTTACGCTTTCTCCCGGTCGCCCTGATCCCACAGGTAATCAGGCGAATCAGGGAACAGAAACACAAGGTTCTGTTAGTGGCCTCACTCTGGAGGAACCAAAACTGGTTCGCAGAGCTGTCTCGGCTGCTCTCAGCAGCCCCGAGGCCCATCCCCCTGAGACAGGACCTCCTTTCTCAGGCGAACAGAACGATATGGCACCCCCAGCCCGAGCTGTGGGCTCTACACCTTTGGCCTCTCGATGGGAGTCTGCGGACCTCCCAGAGAGCGTACTAAATACAATCTCTCAGGCTAGAGCACCGTCTACGAGACGCCTCTATGCCCTTAAATGGTCTGTCTTCTCCGCCTGGTGTACAGCCCGCGGCGCAGACCCAATTTCCTGCGACAAATCTCTGATAAAGGTCTATGTAGCAGCTATAGCAGCCTCTCACGCTCCTATAGTTGGCCAATCGGTGGGCAGAAACAACCTAGTTGTTCATTTTTTTAAGGGGTCTAGGAGGCTCAACCCGCCTCGCCCCGTCACCGTCCCTATATGGGATCTGCCCACGGTGTTGAGAGCTCTAAGGAGCCCTCCCTTTGAGCCGCTACAGTACATTGACCTTCGTCCCCTAAAGACCGCTCTGCTACTGGTGTTAGCATCGGTAAAGCATATGGGAGATCTGCAGGTGCTCTCTGTGAGCCCCACCTGCCTAGAATTCGGGACCAGCGACTCTAAAGTCGTCCTGGAACCAAGGCATGGTTACATACCTAAGGTGCACTCTACTCCGTTCAGAGCACAGGTAATAACTCTGTCGGCGCTTCCTTCTTCAGAGCAAGAGTTGAATTTACTCTGCCCCTTCAGGGCGTTTTTATATTTTATATTGAGCGTTCCGCCCCGTTCAGGCAGTCGGAACAGCTCTTTGTATGCTTCGGCAGCCACACCAAAGGGTTTCCGGTCACGAAGCAGAGACTTTCCAAATGGATAATTGATGCTATTGCGCTAGCGTACTCTTCTTTGGGCCTACAATACCCCGTGGGAGTAAGAGCCCACTCAACTAGAAGCGTCGCCTCTTCCTGGGCTTGGTCTAGCGGTGTGTCCATTGCAGAAATTTGTACGGCGGCTGGCTGGGCCTCGCTGACCACATTTGCCAGGTTTTATAATCTGGACGGGTTCTGTCTGCATAAAAGGGCTCACTCTTGTCACATGACAACCAGTGTACCTGTACCTGTACACTCTTGGCCCTCACTGAGTTCCGAAGCTGTACCATTTTCTCTTGGAACGATTACTCAAGGCCGGGCCGACCACTGTGAGCTTGGCCCTATTGCCTCCTGCGGGGCTTCCCTGCAAAATACTTGGTTCCTCTGAGCCCCCTTGGGTGCTTAAGGCAAGTCAGGTATTGGTCGTTTCTCTAGCATAGCGCGGCGGGATTGTAGTAGTTCCCCATAGCATCTTAGCAGACGCAGTACGAATGAAGTATCGATAGGGAACGTACTCAGTTACTAACGTAACCTCGGTTCCCTGAGATACGGGAACGAGTACCGCGTTGCTGGCCGCACGACTCAGTCATCGCTTCAGTCGAAGTAACCTGAGGATCCTATGGCGAAATGGCTGCTTATATAGCCAGATTGCCCCACCCATTCTGGCGGGCTCTGGCGGGCTTCATCGCCATAGGCTCGTGCAGCTCCGCTGCTGAGCCATTGGTTCGTTTTTTTGTTTCATTGCACGAACCAATGGCCATGCAGTTACACTGCGTTATTGAAAAGGCTTCAGAGAAAAAGGAGTTTTCCTCATAGCGTCTTAGCAGACGCAGTACTCGTTCCCGTATCTCAGGGAACCGAGGTTATGTTAGTAACTGAGTACGTTCCCTGGTCAAAAACCTTAAGATCATGCATTTACAGAAAAGATCATGGTAAATTTTCATTTCATGCTGACATTAAGTGCCTAATATCTCAATTTCTGTTTGCAGGTGCACATCCAAAAATAATTACATGGATACCTCTGTATCAGAAGAGAGTGACTCTGCTAGCAGCAGCAACGCAGAGGAGAATCACTCCAAGACCGTTTGCAAAACCCTCTATGAATGTACAAGTCTGGAGTCTGACTCTGAATTTGATGAGGAACTCTGCAAGAAAGATATTGAAGAACTTTTGAATACCAATCCAGATGTTTTCAAACACTGTAAACTTGTAATGGAAAGACACAATAAGGCGTATGCCAGGCCTCTCGACGAACCAACACTCTGTATCAAAATCTCTGGAAGAGAAAATGTGGGCAGGTCTTTTCCTGGAGATGATGTCTGTGTAGAGATCTTGAACAGAGAACAGTGTCCGCAGGAAGGTGAAGTGTTAAAAGGGAGGGTTGTCGGACTAATAAATAGAGATGAAAACTCCCTAACCTTCATCTGTAAGATGGTGGAAGGCAACCCAAAACTTGTTACACCTGTTAACAAACACATGACCAGAATACGAACAGTTCAAACAAAGCCTGACATGGGGATAGTTGAACTACGACAATACAAGTGTGGACACTGGGTCAGAAAGGAATTTGTAAATATTGCTGAGAATCAAATGTTGATAGTCAAGGTTATAAAATGGGAACATGGGAAAACATACCCTCTCGGAGTGGTTACAAATGTAATTCCAGAGTGTGATGCTTTGGATGAAATGCTAGACATTGAACTTGGCTGTAAAGACACACCTCCACCATTCAAACTACAACCTGAAGACGATAAGGCTTTAGACAGGATGAATTTGTGTGACATTATCACTTTCACCATTGACCCACCTACAGCTGAAGACCTGGATGACGCCATTAGTGTGAGTGAAATTAACTGTGATCGCTATCAGATTGGTATTCACATTACAGACGTCGCAAGTTGCATTTCCAAAGATAGCGAGCAAGACCAATTCGCTAGACTGCGTGGCAAAACAATTTACACTCCAGAGAAGGGAGACGTGACCTTCATGTTTTCAAGAGAGCTGAGCAATGACCACTTGAGTGTTTTGCCTGAAAAGAAACGGAAAGCCATATCCCTGCTGATAGACATTGACAAGAAAACAAGCAATATACTAAACTTTGATTTTGCTGAAACCCTGATTATATCTGACAGACGGATGTCATACGAAGAGGCTGACCAAATTATTCAGAAGTACTGCTTGGATGACACTGAGCCTCTGCGGTTCTCTTGCGTGGAGGATTGTGTAGCTGTCGCTTACCGTTTCTCCGAAGAGCACCGAAAATGCAGGCTGGAAGATGGATGGCTGTTTGGGAGGCAGGCAGGGCAAAGTTGCTCTCGTGCAATGGTGGAGGAACTAATGAATCTCTACAATAGTGCTGCAGCTGAAGAACTCATATCTACAGGTGTCACAAGAGATCTCACACCACTGAGGTGCCACAGGGAGCCGAACTCAGAACAACTAACTCAGTTTAAGAAGAAATACGTTGAGCTAATTCCCATGTCGCCTTACTTTTCAAATATCTGTGAAGTAGATACTGAACATAGTGAAGAGCATGTTTGGTCCAATCCACAATATGAAAATATGGAGCACAATGGCATATCATTTAACATATTCACATCCATATTTCAAAAGATGGAAGAGTTTGCACAGAGCAAAGACTATTATAATCTGATGCAGTTAATTTTTTCGGATGAAATCCATCCGACACTTATCCCTATGGTGCGGGAGTTTCGTGACATTCAGAAGAAAGCTGTCATCCTTCGGTCATGTTCCTCAACGGATTCCAGGTTGGGTCACTATGATTTACGGCTGAACGCCTACACCTGGGCGTCATCTCCTATGAGGCGTTATCTGGACCTTATCTTGCAGAGACTTCTGCACACCATGCTGTCTAAGGAGATCCTAAAGCAAGCTGACTACACTCAAGTTGAAATCAATAGGTTCTGCCAAACTGGCATGGATGCAGAAGAGCAGTATGATGCTCTGGTGTTGAGACTAAAAAAGGTTCAGTTTGAACCCAAAGATGTGGTTAAGCTTGCGGTGGTGGACCAGCTCACTCCACAGGGGCATGAATTCACAATATCATTCCCACTACATTCTAAGTTAGACGTCATCACCATCATGTACAAGCAACTTAAAGTTGTGGATCAGCCAAATTACAAGAAGGAAAAGAACGCCATGACCCTTCATTGGAAGAGAAGAGTGTATTCATTCAGTGAATCATTCAAGAATTCGTATCCGTTAAAGCCCATGAAGAATGTGACATCAGTGTCAAGCAACTTGTGGAAAAGACTGGTATCTGCTGTGAAACAGCAGGATTGGGTTAAGATTGAGCAATGCCTCCGAGACATGAAAAAAGGGGAGGACGAAGAAAAGGAAAGTGTGACAAATGAGGCTTGTTCAACAGAACAACGCCATTATAAGGAACTAACCATGGAGCTGAAGTTAGGCACGGTTGTTCAGGTGCAGCTTGGGACTGAACTCAAAGATGGCTTTCCAGTTCCTGTAGTTCAACTTCTCAGTGTTAATCAATGTTTTGAGATCTGTTTGGAGCACACAAGAAACCCTATTGATTGTTTTTCCAAAACAGTGTGCAATGCATCAAAGCCTTTCTATGAAAGCTACAATGAGTACCAGAACATCTGGAGCCAACTATGTCAGATAGACACCGCTTACAATGCTTTGGAAGAAAATAACAGCATCATCTTGGAGGGTGTTTGTATAACATGGAATAGAGATGAAACAAATCTCCAAGGGTTCTTTTATCTGACAAAGACTCAGAAAAAACAGTGGTCTCTGGAATTTGACCTTAGTAACTGCTTCTTGTGCATCAGACTAAGAGATCAGAAACTGAAGAACAGTAAGAGTGATCCAAAACATCTGGATAGTTCTGAAATTTTAGACCTGCAGGGTTCACTACCTTTTACATGGGTTGCACATGCAGTAACCACCAAACCAAAGAAACCAAAGAATGGAGACAATCAAAACAAAATTACATTTCAGATCACGAAAATATCTATGAGTTACATTCCACCCAAGGTTTTTGAACAGGGAACAAACTTCACCATTGAGGTCATTCCCAAAAAAATTCCGTATTTGTGAGTGATGTTCATCCTGCTGATGCATTTCAGATTTATACACAATTATACATATGCTAATGCTGTCTTTTTGCAGGGTCAGAGAACATGTGATTGAAAACTTAAAACGGGCTAATAACCTGGTGAAGAATGTCGCCACTAATCAACGACTTGAAGAACTGAATGCTAGTAAGTGCAGCAACATGGCAGCTAGCTAGCATATTTCACGAAATGAGTAATTTCATTTCACAATAATGATATATATTGACATTCTAGTTATTTTTTTTATTAGAAGCAAATTACAAACAGTATTGTATTCATCAAGGCTTGGAGTCAATTATTACACTTATACTACAGCTACCACACCTTATAACATACCTCATTGTTCAGGGATTATTCCAGAAAGCAAGGTTAATTTACCATCACATATACCCTGAACTCTCGGTTGATTAACCCAAACCTTGCTTACTTGAGGTGTGCTGGTTCCAAAAATGTGTCCGGGAGTAAGTTCAGTCAATTCAGAGTATATTAACTGTTAACACACAAGACATTCTCAACAGAGCAATGAACTGACGAGTAACTATGGAAACAAACACTAAGAAAAAGCAAGCCATATTACTATTTTCTCTTTTTGTCAATGGGCATTTACATACTTAGTGCACATCGCCATCTAATGTAGTGGTTATACAATCATTTTTCATTTAATCTTTAATCACAGAGAATAAGATTTATATTGTTTGTTGGATGCTAATTAATATCACACATGTATTTTTATTATAGAAATACATTATAGAAAATGTTTGAATGCAGATCCATGATACTTACTTAACCTTAAACCTATGTCACATAATCAGCTCTCTGGAATACCCGAAAATATCTATGAGTTACATTCCACCCAAGGTTTTTGAACAGGGAACAAACTTCACCATTGAGGTCATTCCCAAAAAAATTCCGTATTTGTGAGTGATGTTCATCCTGCTGATGCATTTCAGATTTATACACAATTATACATATGCTAATGCTGTCTTTTTGCAGGGTCAGAGAACATGTGATTGAAAACTTAAAACGGGCTAATAACCTGGTGAAGAATGTCGCCACTAATCAACGACTTGAAGAACTGAATGCTAGTAAGTGCAGCAACATGGCAGCTAGCTAGCATATTTCACGAAATGAGTAATTTAATTTCACAATAATGATATATATTGACATTCTAGTTATTTTTTTTATTAGAAGCAAATTACAAACAATATTGTATTCATCAAGGCTTGGAGTCAATTATTACACTTATACTACAGCTACCACACCTTATAACATACCTCATTGTTCAGGGATTATTCCAGAAAGCAAGGTTAATTTACCATCACATATACCCTGAACTCTCGGTTGATTAACCCAAACCTTGCTTACTTGAGGTGTGCTGGTTCCAAAAATGTGTCCGGGAGTAAGTTCAGTCAATTCAGAGTATATTAACTGTTAACACACAAGACATTCTCAACAGAGCAATGAACTGACGAGTAACTATGGAAACAAACACTAAGAAAAAGCAAGCCATATTACTATTTTCTCTTTTTGTCAATGGGCATTTACATACTTAGTGCACATCGCCATCTAATGTAGTGGTTATACAATCATTTTTCATTTAATCTTTAATCACAGAGAATAAGATTTATATTGTTTGTTGGATGCTAATTAATATCACACATGTATTTTTATTATAGAAATACATTATAGAAAATGTTTGAATGCAGATCCATGATACTTACTTAACCTTAAACCTATGTCACATAATCAGCTCTCTGGAATACCACCTAGATATTTCATTACAAGACATTTATCATGTTTTTGTAGGCTGTAAGGAACTTTGAAATTAATAATGAGTAATAAGTGATATGTAATTGTGTAACACAGTCAGACCTGTCTGGAACTACTCTTGATGTGCCTTTCCTGAAAAATTAAACTGAACTAAATGCATATCAGTAAAAATGAACTGAACTAAAGACATGAGTAAAATGCAAAGATAACTGCAATATAAATTTTGCCTACACATTAATTTCTTTACAAAACCTACTATTAATTAAAAAAAAATTGGAATGAATGAAAACCTCTACAATACTGTTGTGTCTGGTCTGGTCTATGGATATCTTATGTAACTGTTATTTTAATGTGGTGGAAACCTTCTTGTCTTAGAGGCATATGAAAATATCAACTTGGACAATGTGGATGAAAACCTGAAGCTGCCATGTCTGAATAAGAGCCAGCAGAAAGCTGTTGAGGAGGCTGTGAAGAAACCTTTCACTGTGATCCAGGGCCCACCAGGTACTGTTTAAAATACATATGTAGTAATAATATAGTTGCTTTAGTAATTGTTGTAGAACTTTGCAAGGTCACTTTTTTTAGTTTCAGTATTAAGCAATTCACTAAATGTCACAAACTGATATTTGATTTCACAGATTTGTCCATTGCAGGCTCATTTTGTTCACTGTTGTGAGTAGAGTGTCAGAAAATGCAAAAATCTATACTGACTAATAATCAGACTCATTTGCAGTCTTGGGAATGGAGATGTGTTGTGGAAAATGCTGAAGAAATTTACTCATATGATATTTCATCCACAGGTACTGGGAAAACAGTGGTTGGTATTCACATTGTTTACTGGTATTTCAAGAAGAACCAAGACTTTCTGGCCTCTTCCAAATCTTTCAAAGCAAACCCTGATCAGAAACCTCCCAAAAGGCCTGCCATCCTCTACTGTGGACCTTCCAACAAGTCTGTGGACATTGTTGCAGGTGAATTGTGTTTGGTGGTCTTTTTTAATATATAGCATATACCTTAGTCTGATTGTTTATACAATTTTAGAATTAATTGAGTTTTTATAAGGAAGCCAGAAACTTACTGTATACAAGGCACAAATGTTTGGCCAGTGCAGTTCCATCATTCTTGTTTTACTTTGGTGGGGATAAAACTAAGTTCCTAAGGGAACGATAGTACCAAGTGCAATGACAAATAAAATCAAACTTGTTTGAAGCATTGGCATTTTCATGCATGCATAGAGTATGTTTCAGGCTCTGTTTTACCTGATAAACTGTACTTACATGACCCATTGATCTTGTGTCCCAGAGCAGTTGTTGAAACTCAAGGGAGTCCTAAAGCCTCTGAGAATCTACTGTGACCAGATGGAAATGCGTGAATTTCCCTATACAGGCAGTGACCTAAAGCTTTGCCGCAAATCCCTCAGGGATGAAAAACCAAAAGAGGAGCTCAAGTAAGAGCCACTATTTTGTAGACGGGTTCAAAAGATTTTGGAGCCAAATTGCATGGCGGTAAATTACTTTAGAAAGATGGCAGCATAATTATTATTTTTTTACACAGAGATTACTAGGTCTATTAGTAAAACCTGTTAAAAATCTGTTTCAGCAATCCTTGTATTATATGCCAATAGTGACCATTCAAAAATGAAAAAAAAACAAAAAAAACACTTTTTTTCTTTTTCCAAAGATGGCATGCCTGTAACTCAAGAAATTTTAAAGATATCTCAATATCCTTTTAGATCCTTTTTCTTTTGGTGTCTTCATTTTTAAGACCACATATAGTTCTATCCCAGATATATGGGGACCTCAATGTGGCTCCACATGCAAATTGTTGAATTTGACCCATTTTTAGTGGTTGAAAACCAAATGTTTATATATACAGTACTTGCATGTGTACTTATCATAGTCTGTAGAACAAAAAATGTTGAAACTAGAAATGTACGTTTTATATATTCACATCAAAAAATAATGTCAATATCTTGATTTCTGAGAGGCTAAATATTCATTTTTATTAAGAATAAGGAAAACATGGCTAATTAGCTGGTACAATACCTTTATTACACTTTTGGGTTTTAGAAATGTACATCTACACAACTTATGGAAGGCATAAATTATCTTTGAATGTGAAAGTGATACTGTCTACCAGTGGTGGACCTTTGAACCCACATTACAGACATCACAACAAATAGTGTGTGAATATACCCATTAAACGTCTGATTTTGTTGCAGGAATATTACACTAATGTACCTTGTTCGTAAACCTGAGAATCCTTTTTCGGAAGAAATTACTAAATTTGAACAGTACAAATTAACAGAGGATGAAGTAGAGACGTGAGTAAAATTTCTGTATTTTTTTTGCATTCAGAGGCTTGCCACAATGATGCATGAATGAGAGAAAAGTAAGATTATTTATTGTGAGGCATTAAGAAAAAATCAGAGTGATATATCCAATATAAAGATATGCCAGAAAAAGTAAGAGCATTGAATTTATCCTATATGAGCTATTACTCTACAACGCAGTGTTTCTGTCATTGCTATCATCATTCTGGTAATGTGGTAAATGTGACTTTGCAGCTACAGGAAACTGTTGAAGGAAGCTCATAAGCATGAGATTCAGAAGTATGATGTAGTGTTGTGCACCTGCTCATCAGCGTTAAAACCTGAAATCCTGGCGGTCATGGATTTCCGGCAGATTCTCATTGATGAATGTGCCATGGCAACAGAACCAGAGGCCTTCATCCCATTAGTTTCCAACAATCCAAAGCAGGTGAGTGCTGGGATGACATCATCATCATCATCATCAGTTTTCAAACAAAACCAAAGAGATTCTG